ATTTTCTTTTCTACATAGATCAATCCTTTTTTTAAAAAAAATGTAAAATTTTTATCACACTATTAGCATTATTTTATTTCTTGGGAGAAATATAGTCTAAAAAATAACAACGATAACATATATATATTTTTATATTAATGTATAATATAAATATTTTATATATAATTAGTATATACTTTTTCTATATTTGACTAGTGGATATAATTATTTTTAGCTAACTGGTCAAATGTATAACTATTCACCCAAGAAAAAACTATCTAAAATTTGGTATTCTTGAGATATTATTATAGTACAAAATATATTCAAAATAAATATCTTCCATAATGTGAGAGACATGAACCATTGTTAATTTACTTCTAGATGTTGTCAAGAGTATAAAGATACCGCGAAGAATTAATAATTTATTTTAAACTTTCACATGACATAAAATAAATGCTTTATTTAGTTGCAAAGTAGAAATAAATAAAAGTTATCTCCAAGTTATGAAATCAAATTTGATCAATGTGTATTTATTTATTTATTCAATTCAATGGGGTTTGACATTTGTCTTTAAAATTAGGAAAGTGGCAAACATTGACGTCATTGGTGAGACAAAGAATGCCTACAATAAAGGAAATGGTCAAGTGTGAAACGTATCTTGGTCAAGTATTAATCAATCAGGCAGTATTAAAACTAAAATAATAAATAAAACTTTTTTCATTTGACGAAAATGAATGAGAAACCTCGAGTCCTCTTTTGCAAAATTAAAAAATAAGAAACGCTATGATCAAGTGTGAAAGGTATCATGGCAAATTAGCTAACTACATAGCCTTCTTAAATGGCTGACCTAGAACAAGATAGGTCAAAACAAAAGTTTGACCGGGAAATTTTCATAGGAATATGTATATATAAAATAAGAAATACAAATATATTCCATATTATACAAGCATAGAAGTGGGTTTTGAGCCTTTCAACAATATAATATGGAGATCGAAGATTAGAGTATAAGGTTAGTAGGTAGTCGAGTTCGGAATACTGTATCTGTTCTGTATTTCTCATGTCAATATTATTATTATTATCATTCTCGTATTTTCTTATTCTTTGATTTCTATTACCACGTGTTATTCCCCTTGCTTCGATTTTCTTACTACTTTGTTATTTTGCTGTTGTTACTGTTCTTGTCTTCTATTCTTTTAACATGGTTTTTTCATTACTGTTTTTCTTGTTCAAACCTGCAGAGAAATGTTTTTCTTGAGCGAGGGTCTATCGAAAACAGCCTCTCTACTTTCACACAGTAGAAGTAAGATCTACGTATACATTACCCTGCTCAAACCTCATAAGTACGAATATATTGAATATACTTATGTAAATAAAACTGAATGGGATTATGGCACTTCACTTGTTCAAAGTGGCTTGCTAATTTTGTCGAAGTGTTAAATAGTCTAGTTAAACTAATAGGAGGTGTTAAAATTTGAGTAGAATTAATACTAAAATAATAATTTAATCCAGCCGAAATTTTCTTGAGTCAAGATCTCTTAATCTCGCAATCAGCAAAAAGATATTCACATGAAAAATCATCATAAATTGGCAATTGTTTTATTATCATTACCATATGTTAACTTTTAAACAAACCGCACTAATAAATCGAAGAAAACATGTAAGGAAATAAAAATAATCAAACCATGAGTTGTAGTTTGGTGTAAATCAATATGAAAAGTTTTTTTTTATGGACACTTTATTTATTAAAGGAGAAAAAGAAACTATTGAAAAACTATGAAACCCAAATTAGTACGTGTGAGCACGTAATTTTTGCCCGACTAAAATATTCCTACATAATTAACAAAAATAGGATTTTTCTAATTATTTTTAATTTTTATAGAATTTTTAAGAAATTTCTTGTTAATGGTTGTTTGCATTTAGTTACCTATTTAATATTTAAATCATAAGGAAATACCACAAAAAATGTCAAAAAATTTCATGCATTACATTTTAGGGTTTTATTTGTATTTTTAGGATTTAAGTTGTTTATTAATTGCATTATTAAACAAAATCACAAAAAGAATGATCATTTTTACATTAGTCTTGGTCTTAAATTATTAATTTCCTTTCATTAGTTTTAAATTAATTAATTGTTTAAATTTTAGAAATAGTTAATTAGGCTTAATTCTACAAATTAGATTGATTTAGGACTTAATCTAGGTTGTTAATTAATGGGCGATGTGCACAGATATCCATTAATAGCACATGTCTTTATTTTTAAGCCACTGTTTTAAATGTCTTTAGTCTTTAGCCACTGCTTTAATAAAATTTTACCTGACCTGGACGAAAATACCCTTCTGTTATAAGCTTATACCTACGCTCCTTATTAACGATCAACAGCAACATCACGTAACTAACTTCCGAAGCAGCAGTAGAGACTATGATCGTCCAAAATTGCAGTAGCTTCTCTTCCGATTTCAAACTATAGCAGCAGCAGAGACTGTGATCGTCCAAAATTGTAGTAGCTTCTCGTCCAAAAATCGACATAAAATTACAGTAAGTTATGCTTTTGTGTGTTTCTGTTGATTTTTATTTCGTTACTAGGAATTTGATTTTTTTTGCTTTTCTGGATTGATAACGTTAAGGACATCGCGCCCTGTGATTATTCTATAAATGTTTAGGACATAATGTTAAGAATTTGGTGTCCTAAATATTAAGGACATAGTGTCCTCGTTTTGCAAATTGTTTTGAAAAAGTTAAGGACACTTGGTCCTTAACTTTGATTTCCAAGTTCAAAAGTTAAGGACACTTGGTCCTGAAGTTTGAGTTCCAAGCTCAAAAGTTAAGGACACTTGGTCCTGAAGTTTGAGTTCCAAGTTCAAAAGTTAAGGACACTTGGTCCTGAAGTTTGAGTTCCAAGTACTTCAAAAGTTAAGGACACTTGGTCCTGAAGTTTTAGTTCCAAGCTCAAAAGTTAAGGACACTTGGTCCTGAAGTTTGAGTTCCAAGTTCAAAAGTTAAGGACACTTGGTCCTTAACTTTGAATTCCAAGTTCAAAAGTTAAGGACACTTGGTCCTTAAGTTTGAGTTCCAAGCTCAAAAGTTAAGGACACTTGGTCCTTAACTTTGATTTCCAAGTTCGAAAGTTAAGGATATTTGGTTCTGAAGTTTGAGTTCCAAGCTCAAAAGTTAAGGACACTTGGTCCTTAACTAACACTTACAAGCTCAATACACTTAATTTAGGGATTTCAAATGGACAAATCAATACTTGACAGAAACGAAGAAATTAATAACATGATGTCTTCATATTACTTCTGAAACTGTAATTTGGCATAGATGTGACCAAAAATTATGCTATGCAAACAAAATAAAAGTGCCTTTGTGAACAATTTACAAGATATTTCAGAATTCATATGCTTTCTTTACAGCAATTTGATACAAAAAATCAACTACAACTAACTTTCTTTACAGCTAAACTATAGCTCCTTTGGGCAGGAAGTTTCATTTTCACTATCATAGTCGTCGCCGACATTTTCTGGTGGTGTATCATAACCAGAATTTCTTTTCCACTCTCCATGTGCCCAAATATTTGCTGCAAGTTCTTTCCTAAAGTTTGTTATGTCTTCAGGTTGGAATTTCTCCCCATCCTTTTCCATCATCAACAACTCCACATACTTGATAAGGAATGCACCACAATTAGTCCTAAGAAAAATGTAAGATATGGAGTCAATTAAACAATATCTTTATTAAAATAAATCTAAAGTACATATAAATTATATAGCAAATCACAACACGTACGATCCAGTTTGGTGTGGTGATCTTTGCCACTGAATATCAAATTTGTTGAATGCATTTCCAAAAGACTTGTGATTTTTCTCAAACTGTGAGAACTTTTGCAAGTGGGGGATCATGATACATTTCAATGTGATTCATTCCTGCCTCATATGGCTCACTATATATGGAATCGTACACATCAATCTTTTTCTCATTCAAGTCCAATACCCCAAAAGAAAATGTGTCACAGCATCATCATCTTCTGAAGGAAGGCGACATGGAAAAAAGATTTTGTCAACCTCTGTCCAAGCAATTCCACATCTACGACTGTCACCCCACACATATGGTGTCAGAAATAATTGATTATCACCACACCAAAACTCATCTGTNAAAACTTAAGGACACATGATCCTGAACTTAGACTTACAAGTTCAAAACATAAGGACACTTGGTCCTGAACTTTGACTTTCAAGTTCAAACGTTAAGGACATTTGGTCCTGAAGTTTGAGTTCCAAGCTCAAAAGTCAGGGATTCATGGTCCTGAACTTCAAGTTTCAAGTTCAAAAGTTAAGGACACTTGGTCCTTAACTTTGATTTTCAAGTTCAAAAGTTAAGGACACTTGGTCTTTAACTTTAAATTCCAAGTTCAAAAGTTAAGGACAGTTGGTCCTTAACTTTGATTTCCAAGTTCAAAAGTTGAGGACACTTGGTCCTTAACTTTGAATTTCAAGTTCAAAAGTTAAGGACACTTGGTCCTTAACTTTAATTTCCAAGTTCAAAAGTTAAGGACACTTGGTCCTGAACTTACAGTTCCTGTCCTTAATTTATACAAGGATTGCTCTATAAATATGTCCTGAATTTCCATTTTCTTGACTTGCAGGATGGAAACAATATATATTATAGTTGCTTTTAATGGTAGATAGACTGCAGACTATAAGTATCTTGATCATCAAACAAAGCTTGTTCTAGTACCTGAGGCAATTCGATTTGAAGATTTCATTAAACAGGTGTTTGAAGTTATTGAATTGGATAGAGACAAGTTTGAAGCAATGATATGGTTTGATATCAACCTTGGAACAAACAAGGGAATGCTTGTATCCAAAGATTTAGATCTTCACGCATGTATAGAGTTACTAAAAAGTCATTCACTCTTCAAGGGTTGTCGTTTCATTGTTGATGTTTCGGAAAGAGTTTTTGGATCTACAAGCACCTTTAAACATGTCAATAGAGAAAATCAACATGACAATCAAAACAAATGCCAACAGATAATGGAAATAGATATGGTTGAAGCTCAACCAATAATTGAAGAGGTGCTTCAAATATTTGATTCTATTCAAGTGGAAGGACAAAGCATTATAGAGATTGACAACGAACAAGCTTTGGGTATTCAAGTCTTAGAGAGTGCACCGGTAATAGAAGAAGTTGCTGAAAAAACCTCTACTTAACTAACTAGACGAAGCTCAAATTCGAAACAAAAAAGAATCCCCAACTACGATATTAAGAGAAAATGCTTCGTTGGATGAAATTAAAGTGGGATCAATATTTGACAAAAAGAAGGGCATAATTAACTATTCTTCGAATATAGCAATTAAAGGACATTTTGAATTTAAGGTTGTTAGATCAGTCTCAACAAGATATTCGTTGAAATGCAATGATGATAAGTGTGGGTGGTGTGTATGTGCTTTCAGAGTTAAAGATTCAACACTGTTCAAGATAGTAAAGATTGAGAAAAATCATGACTGCTCAGTTAACACTATGAAAGCTGATTAAAGGCATGCAACTTCAAAGTTGATTAGTGGTTACATCATTGACAATCTTCGAGACCCAAGATTTGAAGTTACACCAGCTTTTGTCGCGGCAGAAATGCAAAAATTGCATGGACTAGACATTGGGTATCACAAGGCGTGGTGTGCTATTCAACGTGCTTCACTTTAATAAGAGGAACTCCTGAAGAGAATTATTAATTATTGTCTTCATAATTGTATATGATGAAAAGTAAAAACCCGGGAACATATACTAACATAAAGATAGACGACAACAACAGGTAAACAATCAAAAAAGAGATTATTAGTCTGTTTTATAAACTTTAGGACATGCTGTCCTTAACCAGTGAAAAAGTTAAGGACGTGCTGTCCTTAACTTTGATGTGTGCAGTGAAAATATTAAGGACACTTGGTCCTTAACTTAGAGTTGCAAGTTAAAAAATTAAGGACATGCTGTCCTTAACTTTTGAGCTTGTAACTCTAAGTTAAGGATTGCATATCCTTAACTATTAAACTTGTAACTCTAAGTTAAGGACTACATGTCCTTAACTTTTGAACTTGGAAATCAAAGTTAAGGACCAAGTGACCTTCACTTTTGAGATTGTTAGTCTAACTTCAGGATTACATGTCCTTAACTTGTGGGCTTGTAACATGAAGTTTAGGACTGCCTGTCCTTAACTTATGACCTTGTTAGTCTAAGTTAAGGACTACCTGTCCTTAACTTCTGTTAACCTTCTGTTATACTGTATTTTCAGGTTTCTTTATATGTTTTATGCATATGGATCATCAATAACTGGTTGGAATCATTGTAGACCAGTGATTGCTGTTGATGCAACTTTTTTGAAGTCAAAATTTCATGGTGTTTTAATGATTTCAGTTTTAAAGGATACAAATAACCAAATTTTTCTACTAGCCTTTGGAATTGCAGAATCTGAAAATAACAATTCCTATGAGTGGTACTTTAGTGAGCTTCGCAATGCAATTGGGAGTCGTGAGAATTTAACTTTTTATCAGACAGGCATCAATCTATTGCATATGGCATTGCAAAGGTATATCCTGAAAGCCACCATGGGATTTGTATCTATCATTTGGAGCAAAACCTAAAGCAAAGGAAAGTGAAAAGTGAGGTCATAAAACTTTTCCAAAGTGTTGCAAGAGTATACAGGCGCAAAGAATTTGATCTATACATGTCAGATATAGCAAAAGTAGATAACAAGACTTATGACTACTTGATGGAAGAACCATCGGAAAGGTGGGCACGTTCTTGTAGTCCACGACGAAGATATGACATGCTCACAACAAACATAGTTGAGTCAATGAATTCTATGCTATTAGAAGCAAGGGAGCTGCCTATATTAAGAATGATGGATTTCATCCAAGTAAAGATACAACATTGGTTTTACGAAAGAAGAAATGAAGCAGGAGGAACTTTTTATGACGTTTCTTGTTGGGTAGAAGAGGAACTGAAGAAAAAGATAGATTTAGCATTTACTTTGAATGTAAGTATGATGTTCTTTGTTTAGCTTAATATTTTAATGATAATTTAACATAATGTACTAACTTATAATTTTTCAACGTTGAAGGTCTTCCCTGTTGATTCATGGCGTTCTAGAGTTGAGGAAGAAGGAATTACTTTCTTGGTAGACTTAAACAAAAGGACATGTGATTGTTTTCAATTTCAATTTGATGAATTACCATGCATACATGCAATTGCAGCTATCGAGAAGAGAAACATCAAGAAGTCCAACTTTTCCTCGCACTGGTACTTAAAGAAATCTTGGCTGAAAACATATGAAAGACAAATACATCCTGTAGGACACACTGATTCTTGGATTGTACCAGAGAGTGTTAAGTCACAAATTATTAAACCTCCAGATTTCAGGTAGAAGGCAGAAGAAAAGGCACATTCCAGCTACCGAGTCATCAAAAATAACATTCAAATGTGGTCGTTGCAGAAGAATTGGCCATAATAGAACAGCTTGTATATATTCTCCGGCAGTCCATCCATTTTCAAGGAAGCATAGAGAATAGTAGATATATCCACTAATATTTATCTACTCTTTAAGTTTTTGCTATAAATTGGATTCATTTAGATTGTTTTTATTTGAGCACATGTCCTGAATTTTCAAAGTTTCTTTGCGCTTACGTGCTTTTTTTTCTTTTGAGTTGCAAGTTCAAAAGTTAAGGACACTTGGTCCTGAACTTTGAATTCCAAGTTCAAAAGTTAAGGACACTTGGTCCTGAAGTTAAGGACACTTGGTCATGAAGTTTGAGTTCCAAGCTCAAAAGTTAAGGACACTTGGTCTTTAACTTTGAATTCCAAGTTCAAAAGTTAAGGACACATGGTCCTTAACTTTGAATTCCAAGTTCAAAAGTTGAGGACACTTTGTCCTTAACTTTGAATTCCAAGTTTAAAAGTTAAGGACAATTGGTCCTGAACTTTAAAATCCAAGTTCAAAAGTTAAGGACACGTGGTCCTTAACTTTGAATTCAAAGTTCAAAAGTTAAGGACAGATGGTGCTGAACTTAGACTTACAAGTTAAAAAGTTAAGGACATTTGGTCCTTAACTAATACTTACAAGCTCAATACACATAATTTAGGGATTGCAAATGGACAAATCAATACTTGACAGAAACAAAGAAATTAATAACATGATGCCTTTATATTACTTCTGAAACTGTAATTTGGCATAGCTGTGACCAAAAATTATACTATGCAAGCAAAATAAAAGTGCCTTGTGACCAATTTACAAGATATTTTAGAATTCATATGGATTCTTTACAGCAATTTTATACAAAAAATCAACTACAGCTAACTTTCTTTACAACTAAACTACAACTCCTTTGGACAGGAAGTTCCATTTTCACTATCATAGTCGTCGCCGACATTTTCTGGTGGTGTATCATAACCAGAATTTCTTTTCCACTCTCCATGTGCCCAAAGATTTTCTGCAAGTTCTTTTCTAAATTTTGTTATGTCTTCAGGTTGGAATTTCTCCACATCCTTTCCTATCATCAACAACTCCACATACTTGATAAGGAATGCACCACAATCAGTCCTAAGAAAAATGTAAGATATGGAGTCAATTAAACAATATCTTTAATAAAATAAATCTGAAGTACATATAAATTATATATCAAATGACAACACGTCGATCCAGTTTGGTGTGGTGATCTCTGCCACTGAATATCAAATTTGTTGAATGCATTTCCAAAAGACTTGTGATTTTCCTCAAACTGTGAGAACTTTTGCAAGTGGGGGATCATGCGTGCATACATTTCAATGTGATTCATTCCTGCCTCATATGGCTCACTATATATGGAATCGTACACATCAATCTTTTTCTCATTCAAGTCCAATACCCCCAAAAGAAAATGTGTCACAGCATCATCATCTTCTGAAGGAAGCCGACATGGAAAAAAGATTTTGTCAACCTCTGTCCAAGCAATTCCACATCTACGACTATCACCCCACACATATGGTGTCAGAAATAATTGATTATCACCACACCAAAACTCATCTGTAGCATCTTCATTGAAATCCTTATATACAAGTACCATATAGTTATCAAAAAGTATATCTGTAGTTGTGTAACGAAAAGGATGGGCGCGAGGGTGGTAGCATTCCTTCTTTCTCAAATAACACAGAGCAATGTCAATATGCTTCATAAAAAGCCAAAAAAATAAAACAAATCCATCAGTCATAATAACTAAAAAACAATAAATTAAGAATAAAAAAAATGCCTTGCGAATTATCGAACCTTATCATCAAGTACAAAGCTACTATCTGAAAGCTCAAGGAAGAACATTTTGCTACTGATTTTTTGATGGTACAATTTATATGGATTCTTTCTCACACCATTATCGTCAGCATATATATCTTTTTCTCCCCTGAAAATTTTGAAAATATCAAATTTAGAAGTTAGTCCTCATTTCCTAATTAAGGACATCTAGTCCTGAACTTAGGCTAAGAAGCTCAAAAGTTAAGGACAATAGGTCCTGAACTTAGGCTAAGAAGCTCAAAAGTTAATGACAGGCAGTCCTTAACTTACAGTTACAAGTTTAAAAGTTAAGGACACTTGGTCCTTAACTTGAAATTCAAGAGATAAGGACACGTGGTCCTTAACTTTGAATTCCAAGTTCAAAAGTTAAGGACACTTGGTCCTGAACTTCAAGTTTCAAGTAAAAAACTTAAGGACACATGGTCCTGAATTTAGACTTACAAGTTCAAAAGTTAAGGACACTTGGTCCTGAACTTTGAGTTCCAAGTTCAATTTGTTAAGGACACTTGGTCCTGAACTTTGAGTTGCAAGTACAAAACTTAAGGACACTTGGTCCTGAACTTACAGTTACAATTTTAAAAGTTAAGGACAAAAGGTCCTGAACTTAGACTTACAGGTTCAAAAGTTAAGGACACTTTGTCCTTAACTTTGAGTTCCAAGTTCAAAAGTTAAGGACACATGGTCCTGAACTTACATTTAAAAGTTTAAAAGTTAAGGACACTTGGGCCTGAACTTAGACTTGCAATCTCAAAAGTTAAGGACAATTAACAAATAATGAAATACATTTAGGGACTTACGCTTTTTGCGATCTTTCCTTTTCTCCTTGCCCAACCACCCAATGAATTTCTTCAATAAGTTTGCATCATCTTTGGCATAATGAAAAATACATTTACGAGTATATTTGATTTTATCCAGCCCGTATTCTTGGGAGTATTTTCATTGTGCGCCATCGATGTTCCTGTTTTTCTTTCCTGTTCAAAAGGAGATTTCAATTGCCAACTAAGCTTCTTATTCCTTTTCCCTCGACCAAGATCTTCTTCAACATATCCTTCAACCTCCATAGACAAACCCTCAACAATGCTACTTTGTGTAGTTGGAGGAGTAGGAGTAAGAATAGAAAATGATGGACCATCAAAATATCCCTCTTCCTTTTCCTAGTATATTGGTTAAAGGCTTCATTTTTGTTTTGCTCTGCAGACAACACTACATATACATTAGTTTGCTGCAAGTCGTAAATTATACAACGAATTGTCAAATGAAGAGACAAAAACTAAGGACATAATTTTTGAAATGTACTGGCAATTTCAATTATGAATATAATATTTAGGACACAATCAATACATGTGTTGTCCATGCTGCATTCTTGTACTTTTTCAACAGACAATTGAGCTGACATATTGGTTGCATTTTCTTTATCTTGCAACTGTTCTCCATGATCTTCGATTGCAAGTTCACAAGATTCTGCAAAATATTTACAAGAGTCGCAATTAGTACTTGTTACTAATATTTGATTAAAACAAACATGTATAAAATTTAAAAAAAAAAACTCCGTCTAACCTTTTGCAACTGTCAAGATCATGCCAGTTAAATCATTATCTTCACTAGCATTTTTTTGGCTTCCAATATTGTCGGTAAGAGAGCGAGGTGTAGAGAGATCATATGTTCCTTCTATACATTTGCAAATAATCTCACTTATGCTTGTTCCTTGGGTATTTTCTAAGTCTTGAGATTGTCCTCCACTTCTCTCTTGATAGTCCACTCCATCTTCTTCCCTTGCAGCTTCAAAAGATTCTGTAACATTTACAATTAATACCCTTTACTAATAGTTTACTAAAACTAACATTCAACATATCATGAAAATTCCATCTAACCTTGATTGGCATCATTTTTGATTTCCAAATTTCTCTTTAAGTGAGAGATGTGTAAAGAGATCATATATTCCTTCAACACATTTGCATACAATCTCACTTACACTTGTTCCCAATGGATTTTCTAAATCTTGAGATTGCACTCCACATTTACAAATTGTTTTTGTTACTCCTGTCTCTTTTGGATTTTTTTGGTCTTGACATTTTACTACATCTTGAACTTCCACTCCATCAATAGATTCTACATATATTTGTGATCACAAAAAAGTTTATATATATTACACTATTGAATATAAATTTCAATGACAACAAATTCAAAATCTATGTCTAAACTTTCCCAATTTCAGTGCCAATATCAGTTTCATCTTCTAGATGCGCATCTCTATAATTTCTTTCATAATGATCTTCTGAATGCACATCTGTATCATCACACTGATCATCACCTGCATCTTTGTTAATTGGAACAGTAGGTTCTGTATCAACTGCATCTTTACTACTTGGAACAGTAGATTCTCTCTCTATGTTCATTTCATCAGGTTTGACAAGAATCTTCAATAAAGTATCAATCTTTGATCCTAGGTCTTTCTTTAAATCATGTGAAAGAAATTAAGTTAAAAAGTTAAGGACAGGTAGTCCTAAACTTCAAGTTACAAGTTCAAAAGTTAAGGACAGACAGTCCTTAACTTTGAGTTGCAAGTTCAAAAGTTAAGGACACTTGGTCCTGAACTTTGAGTTGCAAGTTCAAAAGTTAAGGACACTTAGTCCTGAGAGTTGCAAGTTCAAGAGTTAAGGACACTTGGTCCTTAACTTCGAGTTGCAAGTTCAAAAGTTAAGGACACTTGGTCCTGAAGTTTGAGTTCCAAGATCAAAAGTTAAGGACACTTGGTCCTGAAGTTTGATTTCCAAGTTCAAAAGTTAAGGACACTTGTCACGACCCTAAAATGGACCCGGTCGTTATGGCGCCTATCGTGAAACTAGGCCAGCTGTCACAAACCCCGAGCCAACCAAATATTTCATCTTAAGACATTTAGAGTCAATAATTAACTAACAAATCCATAATATAAGTCAAAGTAGACAATGCGGAACCAAAACATAGCCCGACATCGGGGTGTCACCAGTCATGAGCAACTACAACTCTTCTAGGAATAAGATAAAGACAACATAGTTTGATAGAAATGCTAATACAAGACTAAGTGAGATAGGAAGGAGAAGCACTGGGCTGCGAACGCCAAGCAG